ACAAATCAGCAGCCTGTGGAGCTGCTGTAACAGAGGCATTATGTGTTCCCTGAAACCAGTCCCAGTCAGCAATCTGCCTGCTGTTTTGGACCTGCTGAAGTTTCCAGAGGCAGCCCCACACACAGCATGTTACAGTAATCCAGCTGGAATGTAACTAAGGCATGTGTCACTGTGGCCGATCAGATTTCTCCAGGAATGGGCACAAATTTATGCATTATGACTGAGAAGGTCCTGCATCATGTAGCTGTCCATTACACTATGGTACAGGGAACATGGGTTCTGATTGTGATGTGATTAACTGCATAGATTCATGTGAGAAAGGGGAATCTTTAAGGCAGTGTTCCCCAACTTGGGCCTCCAGGTATTCTTGGACTACAACTCCCAGAAGCCTTTACCACTACCTATGCTGGCCAGGATTTCTGGGAGTTGAAGTCCAAGAACATCTGAAGGCCCAAGGTTGGGGACCACTGCTTTAAGGCATCCTGCTCTTAACCCATACAAAACATCAAAGATTAAAACAGATACTTTGAATGGTGTCTAGAAACAGGATGGCCAAATACATATTACAAAAAAGAAAATGAAAAAAGATACAGACTTGCTTAAAATATCCAGGCCCTCATCTATCTACATATGGATGCAAATTTAAAACTTGCCATTTACAACGCACTCAGAAATGCAATAACTCATCATTGCAACAAAGGCAGAGACCTGTGTGCCTATTCAATCTGCTATCCCAGTGCTGTTTCTTTGTAACTTAAAGGCAAAGCCCACTCTGTCTTCTTACAGTTTCTTTCCAAATTCTCCTCAAAAGGAACAGCATATAATGTAGCCTGATCTGTAGGGGTCCAGACATATTTTTATTCACTCGCTTGGGAAGACGACAGATAATCATTGTCTGAATTCCTTCCGCAAAAAGGAAAAAGCAACAGGTTAGTTGAAAATTAAACCAGAAAATTAGGTCCCTGTGTATCTGTTGGTTTCCACTATTCCTCAAGTGTTGGGGCAATGCAGAATCCCCAAGCAAAGGGAAATGTAGCCACAAGGCCCAGCTTCACTAGCTGCGGACAGACATTCTGATTCCATTACCCTTCCTGTTCTAACTGCCACTTTGAGCAGTTACCGGCTGATGTAGGAAAATGAGAGACACAGAGCTGGTTTACAGCCATTTTTGGACCTTGGAACGAGGCCAAAGTAATAGTTGGAATTGTTTGGCTGGGTCTGAGTTGGGAACATAGAAGTGGAGCAAGGCTGAAGCAAAAATGCAGGTTAGAATGATATGTGGTTTAGATTATTTAAAATGTGAATTGGTCAGCTGTGGTAACATTGTGGATAACGTTTACAACCCAAGGGGTAGGCATATGCAGATCTGTTCTTTGCTCTGAAAAGGCCACAGTGGTGGAAAATCTAAAACCCACATCTTTCAGGGGTTCTTAATTATTTTTTTTAACCCTGATGGTTTTTCCTGTTTTCCTAGGAACTCTAGTCAATTTCAAATATTCACTAGCCCAGTTTTGAGATGGGATTATTTCCTAGCTGCATTATGTATGAATTGGCAATTAGCTGAAAGTCCTTGTTTCCCTGCCTCAGTTAATCAGACAGCTAGCTGTTCAAGAAGTACAAGGTTGATAGCCATAAACCAAAAGCAAGAGAGTAGAGGCACTAAATCTATCACATATTTGAATTGCTGCCAATTATGTCTGACGGAACCTCTGTGGCCTTTGTTGCTGCACAACAAACGAATTCAGGATGGAAATGAAATCAGAACATATTTTTTTCTGAATTTTATGTCTGACAACTTCCTGTTAAAGACCCAAAAGTTAAAATATGGTGGCAATATTTCATGAATTTCTTCAGTTTAAGCGAAGTTAGCAAATCAGTCTGCTTTTTTAATCAGCTTCTGTTCCTGGCTGTAACAGCAATGTGATCATCAGGCATTAGTGGGTGGAAATGCTTCTCTACATGCCATGAAACACTTCACCTGTTAATTACCACCTATTATTAAAGGCACACAAGCTGTTACTAATAAAGGCACATAACCAAGCCAGGCTGTCTATTTGCCTCCCAAGCAGTCCTTATTTGCATTCACATATGTATTACCATCAGCCAAAAAGCACTAGCAATTTATCCATTCAGAGTTTTAACAAAGAAAGAGATCCCTGATCATCTTCTGGGTGCCTACTCTCTGGAAAATCAGATATACCTGTTTTCAACCATTTCTTTGATTATTGTGTCCTGGGTTGGGTGCTGATAGATACTACAAAGTGTAACAGATGGAATCTGTACTGTCTTGAAGTAGATGTCTTTCAATATGGATACACAGAAAAATAAAAATCTGAGCCTTCCTTTTGCTCCTGGATAAAGATACAGTAGAAAATCTCACCATTTATGAGCACAAATAATAAGAGACATGTTACCTGCAACGACATACTTTGTGAACAACCCCTGAGCCATCTATCACCAAAAAGAAATGTGGTATAGTGAAAGATTCAATTATCTGAGGTAATTTGATTTTATAGAGAAATGGCTTCAGAGACAATTGGAGATGTGAATGGTGGAGATTAAATTCAATGAATTTGGATACAGAGAAAAGTTTTCAGATTTGCCATGAGCACAAGGAAGGTGAAGAGGTACAAAGCAGTTGTACAAAACTAAGAATGAAGATTTCAATCCTAAATCTCTTTAACAGGAAGTAATTCTTACTGTACTCGGTGGTACCTGCCTCTGAGTTACCATATCCAGGATCAAATTGCTTGAGATATACACATGCTTACTTCAGTTTTCATGGTTAAAATAGATCTAGGTGGTGTTCTAATTTACAGAAACAGATTAAAATAGTTGACTGTTTCACAAATGGGCCATCAAAAACATTGGTGTCTTATTTTTTTTTTCTAGAAAAAAATTATCTTCAAAACATCTTCCACATGAGAGGGGTGTAGGGCTCTTGTACCTTTGAGAATCTGTGTAGCAAAACCACAAACGTGTCATGTGTGAAAGAGAAAAGCCACACATTATTTTTCTATGTGTTTATTAAAGATACAGAAAGCAGGTTCTTTTGATGTCTCATGTATTTGGAAAGCCTCTACTCCCAACGTTGTTCTTAAAATACGTAACATTAAATTTGCCACATATTATGGATTTGGATCCTGATTGTCAAAAACACTGGGTGTGTATATTGACCAAAGAACTACAACTGCATGTCCACACTATAGTTCAGGGATGAGAAATGTGTGAAAGTCTAGATGTTGTTACACTCCAGCTCCCTTCAGTCGCAGAAGGGTACAGTATAAGTAAAGTTGTGGAATGATGATGGCAGTCCAACAACATCTGGAAGGCACAAATTCCGCATCCATACTCTTTTTCTTCATATGTGGAATAGCTTATGCTAAATCTTTTATTTGCAGCCTTCCGCTGAAGTAACTACACTGCTGTGAAGCTCACCCTCTCACTTCCATGGATTGGACAAATGCTTGAAAACTGTCCTTCTCAGACTGAATAATGGAAGCTTTTGCAAATTTGTAAGATAAGAAGGGCAAACTGAGACCAGAAAATAATGCTCAATTTTTATTGTACAAGAGGAGAAGCAAAGAAAAAGAGAGATTAATAAAAGATTGTTGTGCTCTACTGATTCAAGGCTGGATAATTCAGTGGTTTAGGTAGCTATGGAGCCAGACATTGAGAGCTTGAGTCCCCTGTACCTCCTGTGAATAGAGCCAGCCTGTGTGGCCTTGGGCAAGTTGCATAGTTATCCCAGAGCACCCCCCAGAAGAAGGGAATGATACATTACTACTGAGTATTCTCTTGCTGGAAAACCTTGAAAAGGGTTGTCATTCTTCAGACTTTACTTGAAGGCACATTGTTGTTGTTGTTGTTCACAAATTCCAGGCACAGTCAAAATTATAAAAAACATTGACTGGTATTATATAACAGATACAAGTTTTAACCAAAAACCTAAGTATCTGTTAAATATTGACGCAGTGTGTATACTGTTCCTAATATTGCCATTTTTTGTAGCTCTGATGGTGTGAGATCTGAGATGATGATATTCTACTAATGAATTGTTTTCAAGTATTAAAAAAATGTGCAAACACAGCATATGAACCAGCAGGTTAAAGGCAACAAAAATATCTAAAGATTATATTAACTGGAGAATCAGGAGTAAAGTAGGTCAGAGTTACACAATCACTGAAGAACATCTAAGACACCCGTGCAATTAAGTTAGTGTAGAAGTTGTGTTGTATGCACAGTTAAGCACTTCTTACCTTCAGAACCAGGAAAATGTCTGTTTGAGGACAAGCAAGGGGATATAAAGTAGGAGAACAAGCTGCTGCAGGAGTCAAAAGGTTTGCATTAGGTTTCTGCACATTTTTACCAAGCATTTCAACCCCATAAACAATTTAGGCAAAACCGTAGAACTCAAACTATTTCTAGTCCTACCTAAAGCAGACTCACTGAAATCAGTGGGACTTTAGTTTTGTGTAAGTAAACAATTCAATGGTCTACTCTAGGTAGGACTACCACTGAAATTACTCCATAGTTTATTTAAATACTCTAACAAATGAACTAGCTGTCAGCTTACATATATAAATATTAAGCAATATCATACATGGATAAAATAGCCAACCAATTATCACCATGTGTGTATACACACACACCACCCAGTGCATGGTTTTATTTGCAAATATCTTTGCCTCAAAAAAGTAACTCTACACTCAGTCAACTCCATTGCATTGTTTCAGTATTCTTCAGTATAGGAGATGTAAAATTATATCCTCAAATCAAAATATATAATGTTACTTAGAGTTCTGGTATGTTTATACTAAGACTTCAACCAAAACCCACCAAAAGATTTCTTAAGATGGGGGGCGGGGGCGGAGAATCCCGTATGATCAGTTGCCACAAAGAAACTGAGCAGCTGAAGGTGAGACTGAGTACAAGGAGATAAATTACTGGAGGAAGTATCACCTGTTTCATGTCTTCTACTGCTACAGATACAGGTTCTAAGCCAAAAAAAGAACTCCACGTCTAATTATCAGTCTAAAGGAATGTTTAAATAGTTCTGGTTAATGTTCCTGGGGGATTAAACTATCACCTGACAAAGCAGCCACAATAGCATCCCTATAATAATTAGGAAAAGGAAAGCTTAAAGGGTACCTTGTATAACTCCCCTCTTTTAAATTCTGCTCTAGGTGCCTACTCCTAAAGAGAAAAAGTTTACTTAACTGCTCTAGCAAGAAAGCTCATAATTACTGGTTCAGTCCACATGACTTCAAGATGATACTAATTTATAATTGTAATTTCTTTTCTATTTTCACTTTGTCTCTAGCCTGAGTTTCTTGTTTTCCTTTCAGTATGCTGGATCTTTGAGACTGAAGTGCCCTCTGCTGTCTGAAATCTATTCAGGTAAGTAAATGATTGAATGACTGGTAATTATTCCTACTCAACCATCAAAATCAGTGAACAATCCTATGGCACTTTGGAAATTAACAAATATATCAGGACATGAGCTTTTGTGGGCTTATGCACAAAGAGCTGTCCTCAGTTGAAAGGGATATAAGTCAAGGGAAATAACTGGGTATTGGGGTTGAACAAAATGTGAAAAAGTATTGTCTATGACAAATTAAAGCTTAAGTCTTTGCCAATTAAATACAGGAACTGTTTGCAACAACAATAATTAGTGAGAACATAATCATTTTAGTTAAGTTTCCTGTAGTGATACACAAAAACATTGTCTTCATTAACACCCTAGAGGATAGGCTCAAACCTAAGTTGTAATTATGTTTCATTTTGAAGTTTATGTGTTTCAATATTGAAAGCTCAGTTCAGCAGCTCAACATTTTGGGAGGCTAAAAGGTTCATTCATTGTATTAACATACGGAAAGGGGACAGGAATGTGGCTAGTGGGTGCAATCATCCTCCTAACACCACTCATGCACTGGAGCTAAAGAAGTGTACTTAAATGAGAGACTAACTATAAACACTTTTTTTCATTATGTGCAATAGAGTTTCATTTTGAAGTTTATGTGTTTCAATATTGAAAGCTCAGTTCAGCAGCTCAACATTTTGGGAGGCTAAAAGGTTCATTCATTGTATTAACATACGGAAAGGGGACAGGAATGTGGCTAGTGGGTGCAATCGCCCTCCGAACACCACTCATGCACTGGAGCTAAAGAAGTGTACTTAAATGAGAGACTAACTATAAACACTTTTTTTCATTATGTGCTATAAGGTCAATTTTGACTTATGACAACCCTCTGGAGGTTCTTCTAGGTATTGAATACTCCACTGGTTCTTAACCTTGGGTTACTGACTTATGACAACCCTCTGAAGGTTCTTCTAGGTATTGAATACTCAATAGTGCTTTATCATTTCTTCTGGAGGTGCCCAGGGGCTGTGCAGCTTGCCCAAGGCTACAGAAGTTGGCTCTTCCCCTGAGATACACATGGGAAACTGAACTTTCAATCTTTGGCTCCACACCCAGATACCTAACTTACATGGAGAAGTGTACTTTGAGATTTGCCGTATTTACCCATGTTGCTCCAACTATAGATTGCATTTACGGTTTAAAACAAAACTAAGGAAAAATGATAGCTTACTATTTTTCACAGCTGGAATGTTACCTTGCTAGGATACTGAAGAGTTTGAGGACTGAAGACGCATGCTTAATTAGTACTGAAGATAATACTTTTTGAATTACACCCCCCAGAATCCCTAACAAATCCCTCTGCCACCAAATTTTGCTGCGCTCAGTGGACCATCTGAGTACACATGCCTAAGTTTGTACTGCTAGAGTCTAAGGTTTGAGAACCCTACTTCCTCAAATATTACACTCCATGCCTCTGAGAAAGTGGATCACAATCTATGAAAATGGTGTGAATATACCAGAATTAAACTTAAATGTCCACAGGACTCATTGTTACCACTATAATATGTATGTATATTTTAAAAGATAATATATTTGACATTATATGTTATTTGGGTCTGAGATCCAAGTGATGCTGTGTGTATATAAAGATAAAACAAGAAGCAAAGACATCTGACCTTTCAGCTCAGATGGCTGAAAATAAGCTGGACACTGTATTTTCTTGTTTTTAGCAACAGAGGCTTGTTTTAAGGATTAGGGCTGCTTATTTGAGTTCCAATTCTGACAAGGTACAGAAGAGGTGTTAAAACTGTACTCAGGCTGCGTAATTTCAAAATGCAGGTGCACTCTGTACACTGTAGGCCTCTATACATAGAAGAACAGATATGAAGAACACTAGATTTTAGCCTAAGTTTTTCTTTGACATCTTAAATTTGGAGGGTGGGAGACTATAATATGATCCACAAAGGCACAGATTTCACACCTTTTGTAGTATTTGTTTGTGGGAACTATTCCAAGTATCTGAATGGGGCAGGCAAACTTTGTTGGCCAGCCTTACTCAGAAGTCACTGTCCTGTCCTTAATTTTTTCCCCCCATTCTTGATTTTCTGCCCATAACCGGTACTGGAATGTTGTTCTTGGGGGTGTTTGGGGATCTGGTTTCATCAGTCCCCTCTAGCCAGATGAGACGAGTGAATTCGTCAGGTTGCCCTACTCAGAAGTCATTTTCTGGTCTGTTTTTTTTTTTTTTTTTTTTTTTTTTTTGCAGTATTGATTTTCTGTCTAGAACAGGTACTAGATTGTTGTTCCTGAGGATGATTTGTGGCTTGGTGCATCTGTCCCATCCAGTCACACATGTATCATGAATTTGGTTTTATTATCCTGCTCAAATGTTGTGTTCCAAGCCACTGTGTTTCATTCTGGCAGGGGTTTGGGCAATGAAGAGTAACTCCTTTTTTTTAGGGTTGAGATCTAAAATATTGTTCCAATTTTTGTCTTTTGCACTTCAATATTTTTTGCATCAGTTTTTTAAAAGAAGCCCCTGTTTCGCCCTGTTCCGTTCTGGCTTTTACCTTCTCCCTATAAAAAGGCAGAAAAACCTCTAGTTTCCATGCCTCCATAGAAAATTGAGAGACCTTTGGGTAGTGTGGGCGGCATATAAATTAAATAAATAAATAAATACATATATATAAAAGACGACCCTTGAAGTTTCCTGCATGCTGGAAAAAGGAAGCATTAGACAATGTCTGACTGAGATACAAATTGTTTTACTAAGATACTGAGAATATCTTAACAAGAATATGTCGTTTAAAGAGCTCAAGACTGGATTCCAAGCAATAAGAATCTTGTAAAGTACAATTCTTTATAATCTCAAAAATGTGCAATATTCTGATAATTTACATTGCATTATGTCCCTGCTAAAAAAAGCAATCAAAGAAAATTGGTATTTCTTTTGTTTTTTTGTGCATAGCCAAATAGAAGGACTCTTTCCTTGATCCTTGGCAATTGCCACTTGAGGGAAACCAGTGGCCAATCAAGAATATTTTTGTGAATAAAGATACACTTGGATTCTCCCATTTCTTGCTCCCTAGGTAAGTGATACTTATTTTTATTCATGATTACAAAAACAAAAATCTAGTGTAACAGACCTCTTCAAACTTAGAATACTGCTGGGAAAAAATCTTATTGGTCTGGCAATTTAGCCTGGCAGTTTGCATGTTTCATTTACCTTTTCAAGAAATATAATTGTGTGTATCCACACAAAAAAGAGAAGGAAAATAATATTGCCCGAATTTATATTATCTATTTCAAATGAATATGTGCTACAAACATGTTCCCAAAAAGGAGCAAAGGCACAAAAACATACACTCACTAATACTCAAAAGCCTCACATAGCAAAGGAAGTAGCACAATATAACACCACTATTATTGTTGGTGATCTGTTCAAAATTATAATGCATGAGGAATCACTGATCTCTATAGCTTACAACCATATGTCACCAGAGATCAGTAATTAGTGCATGTATTACTGAAAGTAAGGGAAAGTAGTAACTAATGAGTGGTGGGAAGGAGGTGATCCTGAATGGAATAATTCTGAGTTGTGAATCATGATGTATTTTTCAGAATTACTGTTCAAGCTGTTGATGTTCTCTATGAAGTACTATGAAGTGTCTTTTTCGTGTTATTTTTCAACTGAAAAGTTTTTCAAAGTTTTAAATGAAAAAGCATCTTTAAAGCAAAAGTTACAGTATTTTGCTTTTGCATGTTTCTTCTTCTACACATCACAGCCTCCTGTGTGAGAAGCTATTTTTTAAAAAAGGGGGGGCTTGGGAGAAGAGAGGCTGGCACTACAGAAACACACACATGTCTTTACAACTATGCCTGAAAGGGGAAAAGATGGATCGAATCCTCCCATAATGAAAAAGTTGCAGCCCTCTTGAGGCAGAGGAAAAAAAATCTGGCTAGGCAGCAAATAGGCTGGACCAATTCAAATTACCTTTATACATCATGCAGAGAGTTTAAAAAAGGAAGAAAGAAAGTATTCACTTGTTTTATAAGTGGAGCAAATCCCATGGTACTTGACCATTTAGTCACCCTCTTAGTCTTTCTAAGTGCTCTCCCCATGGGTACTTAGATGAGCAGCAGCATAGGCTCAGGGGTTGCGAAGAGGTCTATTATGTTGCAATAGTTTATAAGGATTCAGCATTTGTTTCTAGGCATCTTGTTCAAGTGCATACCATTTTCTTGAACTGGCCAAGTGGAATAAGCTAGGGATTTTGTTGGAATACTACCACTCTTCTGATTAGCAGTCTCTGTGTCTGAATTGATGGAGATGGTATTGCATTTGGTATGTCAGGCCCAACCTGCAGTGATAGATTTGAAGAATCAGAACAATACTGATCAGGTCCACAATCCAAGGCAGCTTTGGACTTTAGCAGAGTTTGGGTCATTGGAGAGCATAAAAACAAGAGTGGGGTAGGTGTAAGAAAATATAGGTTGGGGCTTAGTGCTATGACAACTTGCTACACAAGTGATCAGATACCTGTTACCATTGTAAGATCTTCCTTGATGATGATAATTCTGAAAGGCAGCCTATAATTTTATAATTAAATATAATGCTTTTATAATTAAATATAATGCTTCATATTATGATGCACATTACAAGAAATCTGCAGACTATTTTTGTACTTACTTAACAAATATAAGGCAATTGATATCTAGAGAGCATGACTTTCCAAAGACCCAGACTAGAAGGGATGATTGGAGATTATTATGAGAAGCCCTATGGGTTTTTTTTTTAATTCAAAGCAGGTGTACAGGGAGCTAGAACACACTGGGTGGCACTATTTAAATAAGGAATGTTCAACCCTTTCCTCCATGAGATTCTCCTGTTTGAAACTGTTGCCAAAAAGGAAGGGATCAATCTTTTTCCCTACATCCCCCTGTCCAGTCCCATCATTCTTTCAATTTCTTGGGCCGTCTGTTTGACACTCATAGTAAGGCTCATAGTTGTTGTTTGAACTGGAAAGTCTATTCCAGTCAGGGAAGATATTAATTCTTCATTAGTCAAGATAAGAATGGCTCATTGCCAGAAGAACGCTTCATTTAATTTGCTCTTGTTCTTACTAAGGATGTCCATTTCGGATTTCTGAATTACAAAACACGCAATCCTCCTTTTTAGCAGTCCCAGATGCACACTTTACGAGATACCTGCATTGTACTCACCTGGAGAGAAGACCCAACTGGCAGGCTCCAGGCCTAACATCCTGTTTGAAAAAGGTGCTCCAGTGGTTGCTGGGAATCTCTGATGGTTGTTGGGCAGCTTCCTTTTCAAAGAGGAATTTGGAGCTATCTAAGGCGGCCTTCCAGTGAGCCTTCTTTCCAAATGATCACAATTTAGGAGGCTAGCAGGTAGGACTCCTAGTAAGGAGAATTATGGGATTTGAAGTCCAAAACATCCCAAATGCACATGCCTAGTCCTTGCCTTTGCAAATAATATAATAGATCCACACAAGGAGATTTGTTCCCAAGCATCAGCTTTTAGTGCTATTAAAAGTTTCTGGATTGTCATTATATATTACAGGACGTTACGGTGATGGTGACTCCGGTTTCACTTGCAGAAGAGGACTTCAAAATCACTCTCGCAGAGCTGCGGGATCTGATGGAATTTCGAAAGAGTGAGGCAGTGACAAAAATAAAGGAACTGTATGGTGATGTTTTTGAAATCTGTAAACTGTTGCGCACTTCACCTAAAAATGGGATATCTGGGACTTCATCAGAATTGAACATAAGAAAATCTGTATTTGGAAAGAATTTTATACCCCCTAAAAAACCCCTGACTTTCCTGGAGTTAGTATGGGAAGCACTGCAAGATACAACATTATGTATCTTAGAAATTGCCGCTGTCATATCCTTGGGACTTTCATTTTACAATCCACCAGGAGGAAGTGCTGCAGCATGTCATACGGATGATTCTGGAGAAGAGTACGAAAACGAGGAGGCTGACTGGATAGAAGGCGCTGCGATACTTTTGTCGGTAGTTTGTGTAGTGTTAGTGACTGCTTTCAATGACTGGAGTAAGGAAAAACAGTTTAGAGGGTTGCAAAGTCGCATTGAAAAGGAACAAAGGTTTACTGTCATCAGAGCTGGAAAGATGCTGCAAGTGCCGGTGGCTGACTTAGTGGTGGGGGATGTAGCGCAGATCAAATATGGAGACCTTCTACCAGCTGATGGTCTGCTTCTCCAAGGGCATGACCTGAAAATTGATGAAAGTTCCCTTACAGGGGAATCCAATCAGGTCAAAAAGACTTTGACAGAGGATCCCATGTTGCTTTCAGGTACCCACGTAATGGAAGGCTCAGGGAAAATGGTTATTACTGCTGTAGGTGTAAACTCACAAACAGGAATTATCTTCACATTGCTTGGAGTTGGAGAGGATACTGAGAAAGCAAAAGAGACTGACCAAAAACCTAAGCCAGACAACTCTGTTGCAAAAAGCAAGGAAGCTGCTGAAAAGAGCACTGAGGAAAGCCCAAATAAATCAACTCCACATAAAAAAGAAAAATCTGTTTTACAAGCAAAGCTCACAAGATTAGCAGTCCAGATTGGCAAAGCAGGGTTGGCTATGTCCATCATCACAGTTCTTGTGCTTATACTCTATTTTTTAATTCAAACTTTTGTAATTGAGAAACGTGTTTGGACTACTCAGTGCACAGCAATTTATGTACAATATCTTGTGAAGTTCTTTATTATTGGTGTCACAATATTGGTGGTAGCAGTACCTGAGGGCCTTCCACTTGCAGTCACCATCTCACTTGCCTACTCTGTGAAGCAAATGATGAAAGATAATAATCTAGTGAGACATCTGGATGCCTGTGAAACAATGGGTAATGCAACAGCAATTTGTTCAGATAAGACAGGAACCTTAACCATGAACAGAATGACAGTAGTCCAAATTTTCATTGGTGGCACACATTATAAAATTGTTCCTGCACCTGATTTAATTCATCCAACCATGTTGAATTACCTGCTTAAAAGTATTTCTGTAAATTGTGCTTATACTTCAAAAATAGTGAGTCCCGAAAAGGAAGGAGGCCTTCCCCGCCAAATTGGCAATAAAACTGAATGTGCTTTATTGGGCTTGCTTCTTGAATTAAATCTGGATTATGAAGCGGTACGGACTAAGATACCAGAAGAAAAATTATATAAAGTATACACATTCAATTCTGACAGGAAGTCTATGAGCACAGTTTTGAAAAATGCAGATGGTAGTTATCAACTGTTTAGCAAAGGTGCTTCTGAAATACTCCTTCAAAAATGTGTCCAACTACTAGATGCTACAGGAAGGCCTGCCCCCTTTTCAAAAAAAGACAGAGAAAATGTGCTTAAAAATGTGATTGCACCAATGGCCTCTGAGGGACTCCGAACCATATGTTTAGCTTTCAGAGATTTCCCTGTTGGTTTTGGCCATGAAGAAACAACATGGGACAATGAGGAAGCTATTCTCAAAGACTTGACCTGTATTGCAGTTGTTGGTATTGAAGATCCCGTGAGACCTGAAGTTCCTGAAGCCATTAGAAAATGTCAGAATGCTGGCATTGTTGTGCGCATGGTTACTGGCGATAATATTAACACAGCTCGTGCGATAGCTGTGAAATGTGGCATCCTACGACCTGATGACACATGTGTATGCTTAGAAGGGTCTGAGTTTAACAAACTAATCCGTGGTCCAGATGGGAAGATAAAACAAGAGCTAATTGACAAGATTTGGCCCACCCTTTGTGTACTTGCAAGATCCTCTCCCGCTGATAAGTACAACTTAGTAGAAGGGATCATTAACAGTGAGATCACAGAACAAAGGCAGGTGGTAGCAGTAACTGGCGATGGTACTAATGACGGGCCCGCATTAAAGAAAGCTGATGTTGGATTTGCAATGGGTATTGCTGGAACCGATGTCGCAAAAGAAGCCTCTGATATCATTCTTACAGATGACAACTTCTCAAGCATTGTAAAAGCAGTAATGTGGGGTAGAAATGTATATGATAGCATTTCAAAATTCCTTCAGTTTCAGCTTACTGTCAATGTGGTAGCCGTGATACTTGCTTTTACAGGAGCATGCTTTACTCAGAATTCCCCTCTGAAAGCTGTTCAGATGCTGTGGGTCAATCTCATTATGGATACATTTGCTTCACTTGCTTTAGCAACAGAAAAGCCGACAGAAGCCCTGTTGAATCGGAAGCCTTATGGTAGAAATAAACCTCTTATCACCCGTACAATGATGAAAAATATCTTATGTCATGCCATCTATCAGCTCGCAATTGTTTTTGGACTTGTGTTTGCAGGAGAAAAAATGTTTGATATTGAAAACGGACGAACTGCACCATTGGAAGCCCCACCAACAGAGCATTACACTATTGTATTTAACACCTTTGTAATGATGCAGATTTGTAATGAAGTCAATGCTCGAAAGATTCATGGAGAAAGAAATGTATTTTCAGGAATATTCACAAATGCCATTTTTTGTTGTGTTGTTATGGGGACATTAATTGTACAGATCCTCATTGTCCAGGTTGGAGGGAAGCCCTTTAGCTGTACAAGTCTTACACTTGACCAATGGTTATGGTCAGTCTTCTTTGGCTTAGGGACGCTGCTTTGGGGACAGATCATTATAACTATTCCAACCAGGTATTTGTGGTGTCTGAAAGAAGTTGGTGAAGCCCCACCTGAAGAAGAAAACGAAGGAGAAGCTCAAAACCCCACAGAAATTGATTATGGTGAGCAGGAACTACGTCACAGTCAGATTTTGTGGTTTCGGAGTTTCCAGAGAATTCAGACTCAGTGCAGGGTAGTGAGAGCCTTCCGTGCTTCAATTGATGTACATTCTGTACACAGTAGTAAAACAGAACACGAATAGTGGACCTCAGAAATTCTGCCCTTATTGTTGAATATTCATTTTGAAATAAGTAAAATGCATGTTACTTCCCTTAAGAAACAGATGGAAGCTGATTTCACAGTGGTCATTCAGTGAGACACACTTTGAAGCTATCTTTGAAGCTATCAAAATGTTTTCTAGAGGATATTTAAAAAACGTAAGAAATAATAATTTTTTAAAATGCTTTCAAACTGTTTTCATATATGGGTCTGAGCATTATGTTAGCAGACCTTTACTAGATCTTGTGCCTTTAAATTTCTATTTACAAAAGGTATCTTCCAAAAAAAAGTGAGCGATGAAGCCAGAACCAGTCTTTAATTTTTTATATGCATTGATTAAATTAGTATAAATGATAGCAATTAAACTGTACATAGTCTTTTACTTCTGCTACAGTTTATGCCAACTGACATCAATTGGCTGAGCTTCCTTAGGCCCTCGATCTTTTGTTTTCAAAATATGTTACCTTCCCTAAATATTTTGAACCATTTCTTTAGCTCTTGGGCTATGTGATTCCTAAAGAAGGGGAGATAGATATGGCTTTAAGAAAGCTAAGCATATTTTGCATGTTGTTCTTCATACTTACTTATAAACAAAGATTATTGAATAATAAAAAAAGCTTAAAACTTTCTTTACTCCTGTTTTGCTTAATTGCATAATAAGAAAATGAGTTTATCATTGTACTCACATGCTAGTTAGAACAAACATTAAATTAAAAGAAATAATACAGATAAAAAAAGAAACACAACATACTAATAATAGTTACTACAACCCTACTGGAAATGATATCATGACTAAGCCCGACATTACAGCATGGCTACATGTCTCCCAGTTTTAGCTGATATGATACTCCTAATTTTTTAAAAATTAAGTGAAAATTGCAACATGACAACTAACATAAGGGATTGCATTTGCCAGCAATTAATTAATGCACTCCACTTTTGAACCCATGATGGTTGCAATAAAGTGTCCTAGTGTCATCCCTTTTATTGTTTTATAGGTGGGGTGGTGTAGGATATAAGGCTGAGATCCTTTCCTTCCAACTACATCACATAAGGCTGCTGACATCATCAGCAGCAGTGTTTTCAGAAATTAAACACCATCTACTTCTGTCCCATGGCTTTCATGTAATATCTTTTACCGTCAGCAAAACGTGGGAGCCACAGGACACCAGAAGGAAGTTTTAAATTACCAAAAATCACCACTGACAATAAAGTCACCCCAAAGGCAGTGACCTGGAGAAATTATAGGCTTTTCCCTCTCTTTTGGTGGCTCCCCAGCAATGAAAGAGATTATAAGGGAGCCATTGTAGCCTAAGAAGAGTAGGAAACGTTTCATTTCTGAAAGATTACTGATGAGGAAATCATTAGCCTTACACAATGAAGTTGTGCAAACAAGATTTCAGCCAATGTTTGAGACTGCCCCCCATTTATCCCCATTTATCCAATATTTGAGACCCCCCCCCCAGGATTTCAGCCAATGTTTGAGACCCCCCACATTTATCTACTCACAAGAGTAGAGTACAGTTCTGTGGAAACTGTGCAGATCTATTCTTAAGATAGGTTGATGGCATGGTTTGAAAATATAGACTGGAATATGCTTTCTGTAAAAGTGCACTCTTAGGGCTGACGTGTTATGTGCCATTAGGTCGCTTTCAACTTATAATGGTGACCCTATGAAGGAGAGAGCTCCAGAATGTCCTGTCCCCAACAGCCCTGCTCAGCATTTGTAGAATCAAGCCTATTGCTTCTTTTAGGGAGTCCATCCATCTTGTATTTGGTCCACCTGTTTTCCTGCTGCTTTCCACCTTTCCTAGCATTATTGTCTTTTCCAGAGAATCCTGCCTTCTCATGATGTGCCCCAAAAAATACAGTGAACTAAAATGGACGGGAATGGGCGAATTCAATCCAGACGATTATCATATCTACTATTGTGGGCAAGAATCCTGTAGAAGAAAGGGAGTAGCCCTCATAGTCAACAAAAGAGTGGGAAAAGCTGTACTGGGATACAATCTCAAAAACGATCGAATGATTTCAATATGAATCCAAAGAAGACCTTTCAACATCACAGTAATCCAAGTTTATGCACCAACCACCAATGCTGAAGAGACTGAAATTGACCAATTCTATGAAACAAACTTTCAAAATTTTTCCTCAAAGGTTCTGACTTGATTTGATCTAGTTTAGAGATGGGGGTATTCGTATACGGAATATGAATATCCCTGCACAGGGGGCATTAACGAGGGTCCAGCCCCATGGGGTCCACTCACCAATCTGCTGTGGACGCGGACGGCACAAATCTACCAGTGGCTCCACAGTTCGCCACTGTTCGACCTTGCAGCAAGCCTTGTCCTTCTGCCACACAAGTCTACCAGTGGCTCCACAGCGCGCAATCCGCTCGCCACTGTTTGACCTTGCAGCAAGCCTTGTCCTTCTGCCATGAGTGGTGAAAGGGTTGTGCACTGCAGAGCCATTGGTAGAATCAGGAGTGGCGAAAGGGTTGTGCGCTGCAGAGCCATTAGTAGAATCGCACCATCTGCATCTGTGGCAGATCAGTGAGTGAACTATCCGGCCCCATAGGGCTGGACCGTCGTTAACTCCATCTGTGTGGGGATATACGTATTTGTATACAAATACAAATACCCCCATCTCTAATCTAGTCCCCTTGTTTGTCTTTCTGGCAGTCCGGGGTATCCACAAAGCTCTTTTCCAGTACCATGTTCCAAACATTAAAGTTGACTAGGCACCACAAAATAAATTTATTTTTTCTTATACCCTGTTCCAAACATTAAAGTTGACTAGGCACCACAAAATAAATTTATTTTTTCTTAAACTGGGAATACTACACAGAGAATTTGAAATGCTGAATCAAACCAGCATCTCAATTGGCATCACACTCAAGGAGCCAGCAACTGATTTCTGTCCAGGACATAACTACTGGAAATGTGGGATAAAAGAGTTTTATATAAGGAATTTGGTTATTCCTTTTTCTCTTTATTAACAGCAGAGCAGAGCACAATTGAATGTCATGGACATATATGAAATACAGGTGAAATTAAAAATCAATCAAAATGTTAATTAGGCTGTTTTTGACTAGAATTGGGCTACATCAAGAGGGTTACCTGAGCCATTTGCTAGATCTTCTTTTGTACATGTGATATGGCATAAATTGCATGCACGTAAGTGCTGCATTGATTGAATTTCTCCACGGTCACAGAAAATTTGTCCTGTATCTAAGAAACTCCATTTTACTTAATTTTTCTTTGATCTTTCTCCTTTGTTTCAAAGTCTTTTTTCTTCATAGGTTCTTTCTCTTTATTAATAGCAGAGCACAATTGAATATTATGCACATATATGAAATACAGGTGAAATTAAAAATCAATCAAAATGTTAATTAGGCTGTTTTTGACTAGAATTGGGCTACACCAAGAGGGTTACCTGAACCATTTGCTAGATCTTCTTTTGTACATGTGATATGGCATAAATTGTATGCACGTAAGTGCTGCATTGATTGAATTTCTCCACGGTCACAGAAAATTTGTCCTGTATCTAAGAAACTCCATTTTACTTAATTTTTCTTTGATCTTTCTCCTTTGTTTCAAAGTCTTTTTTCTTCATAGGTTCAAGTGACCAGACACTAGAACAAATGCAAAGAGATTTGTTTTTTTCAAAAGATAGTAGCCTCAGCAGCAGAGGCAAAAACTACAGATTGTGGAGTGGAGAACTTTGAGCTGATTTTCTTTTCTTTTCTTTTTTTACATCATGTGTTCAAAGGAAAAGAAATGTGAATCAATCAATCACATAGCATTTCCTGGGTTTTTTAAACAATGTAGTCACTCCCTCCCCTTCACGGATTGCTGCCTTGTTGTGGCAAAGGGGCTTGAGTAACTCAGAGAAGCTATGGGTTATGCCGTGCAGGGACACCCAACATGGACAGGTCATAGTGGAGTGTTCTGACAAAACACGAACCACCTGGAGCAAGAACTGGCAAGCCACTCCAGTATCTTTGCCAAGAAAACTCTATGGACAGAAACAAAAGGCTAAAAGATATGACGCTGGTTGGAAGGTGTCCAACATGCTACTGAGGAAGAGCGAAGGACAAGTACAAGTAGCTCCAGAGCTAATAAA